AAACATTTTTTTGACCTCTTTAACATGTTTGTTGAATACTAGCAATCTGTTAACAAATTTTGTCCTTTCATTTGGTGAACTACCTGGTACATTGTATGCTGGTATTTTTGCTGTATATTTTCTTTCACTACTGCATTCTCTGTTTGAGGATGACCATATGCTTCGCTCTAGTGGTTCTTCTATAGTCTTGTCTCTGTTATTTGGTTGTTCTGTTTCATGGATTCTATCTCTTTCATCCATCTCAGTTTCTTCTTGGTTTCTAATTGCCATGATAATGTCTTTATAGTCTTCTTGCATTATATCTGTCTTCAATGTCTTTATTCCTTCTTCTATATAGTTGTCTATTTGATTATCATGCTTGTTGTTTCTGTATTTGTAACTTCTTTGCTTTTCCTTTTTTTTTGTCTCTCTTTCTCTTCTAAACTTGTATTTTGTCATATCTCTTTTTCATTCATTATTATATTTACTGCTTCTGTCTTTTGTCTCATTTTTTCTACATACAATTTTGGTGTGTTGTTTTTTTCTTTCAGTACCATTTGGACTTTTTTGCTTCTCATACTTTGCACTGCTAATAGATGTTGGCTTGTGTGGTTTATCTCTTCTGCCTATTTTTCTATGCTTGTTAGATCTCTCATGTCTACTTTAATTATTGCTTTATATATTTTCCTTATCATTACTGTTTTTATTAAATCTGTTTTTCATGGTGCTGCTGCTATTATATCTCTTATATTGAAATAGTTGTCTCTATTTGATAGTTCTTGCTCTAATTCTTTGCTACCTATGAGCTTTAGTATTGTCTTTGCTCTTTTACTTACCAATTTTAGCATCATTGACTCTTCTGCTTTTGTCTGTGTCATCTGTGGCTATGTTCTGTGCTGCTTTGTTTATAATTATGTGCACTCTATGATACTTATGTGTTTATTTTGTCTATATTTGTATGTGCCTGTTTGTTTGTCTCTTCACATATTCACATGTTTCAAACAGATCTGTGATTCCAGGTCTAAGCTATTTCCCCAAAATTTTTGCTTTTTGAAGTTCATTTGAAAAATTTGTCTTTTCTTTATTTGCTTCTTGGCTTGTTTCCTTCTGCTGCTTTGCTTGCTAGTTTAATTTTTGCAGCTCTTTCTTTTTTGTTAAGTCTTCATGCACAGTTTGACAGTGGTTTTTCTGTTAGTCTCAATTTTTGTTTCTACAAGTTTTGTGTTTTGGTAATTGGCAAAAAGAATTAAAATTTACTTATGATTATATTGAAATTGTTGAATATAAATATAATTAAATGGAGATGTGGTGACCTAGTGAAGTGGATAGGTTGTCAATCCTCAATTGGCAGGTCTAAGGTTCAATTCCTACAGACAATAAATTTTGGAAATTATACCTGTATTATGATAACTGTCTCCACCGATCGGTTGGGTTTTGGGCATCTGTAATTTTAGGTACACCAAGTTGGGCCCCACCTGACATTGGGAGCTTAGGGCATCTATGCGAAGTGTACTATTACACGATACATGTATATAGAGAAATATAAAAACTGATGTTATATAAGGTTTTGGTGCAAACCAATAATAAGACCCCTGAGTGTAAAAGGCTAAGAAACTGAAGAAACAGAAACTTACTTGAAAATCCCAAGTAAAGAGGTAGCACAAACTTTCGATGATGGCATTGGACTAATGGAAGCCATGAAACACCTTCATAGAAACTGTCAGATAGACCAGATGACAAAATGTGTAGAGAAGCATATAATTAACCAGACTGCCAAAATCGCTGAAGAAAAAGGATACATAAGTATACCATACCAGGCTATCTGGATTGGAAGTCTGGGAAGTCAGATAGTTCTGAGTTGCGGCTAATAGAGGATGATGAAGAAGAAGTTGGAAAGATGGATACCAGAGTTTGGATGAACTTTACAAGGATAATAGTGGTTTAAGGGGTAATCCTAACTGTAAGTGTTGGCTCCGGTTATAGTGTCAAACCAGGTTAGTAGTAAAAGGGAATACAGCTCGCTCTGGTAGGTTTACCTCAAGGATAAAAATAGTCTAAAAATTATAGTCCTATGGTCGAATGCAAATAGATCTGGGTCTGTGATCTGGTGAAATTAATACTAGGGTTAAATCAGAGGGTTTAAATGGAACATCTAAGCTGGGGTGTTAGGTATGGCAACTGGTAGGGAACCCTCAGATGGACTCCTTAAATAGGTAATATAGAAAAGTTACACATGTAGCCAGTTGTATACTCATCTAATAGTTCATTATAGATACATCTATATAAAACATATATCTGCTATAAGTATTAATAAAAAGCTCGGACCAAAGAGGTCACCTTAATACCAAAAAAAAAAAAAACAAGTGGTAGGTAGTAAGTTCAAAACCCACAGATGACAAAAATTTAAATAATCTCTTATATAATATACAAGTAGTATTATAGAATAGCATTCTGTTGATAAGTTGCAATAAGATATCTGTAACTATGATCACACTAGCATGATTAGCAGATTATGAAGTATTTGCACAATGTTAAAGTTATATGAAGAAATACAAACCAGTATTGAGCAGTGCAAATCTAAGATAAGTCCTTGTGGTTATATAAATCTATAGAACTGAAAAGCTAAAGCCCACTTGAGAAGACTTAAGTAGAGAGGTAACACAAATCTTTGACAGCACTATTATAAAGGCTAGACCTAGAAAATGAATACTAATATAGAAGGCATTAGGCAGGTAAGAATCTTGGATGAGAAATACCACCAACCAGACTGCCAGAAGTCTTGAATTAGTAAAAAAGAATCTTAAGAAGACAAACCTTTGAGGTATCAGAAACAGGACACAGTCCTTTTGAACTATTTGGATTGGGAGTCTGAAGTCTAAAGCAAGGTATAGCTAAGTACTAAAGATATACTATAAAGTTAGTACTAAGGTCTAGGTAAACTTTACAAAAATAAGCCTTGTTAGCAAAAATTAAATGTAAGTAGTTAGTTAGCAAGAGAACTTCTTGAGTTTTACAATTCGATAACATACTCTGAAATGTGTAATGCCTTAACAGATGTATAGATAGAAAGGTCAGGATTAGGTTAGATAGCATCTAAATAGGTGTACAGAAGCTTGTATACTATCTGCTAATGTAGTATAGAGATAACCTTATAAAAGTTATATAACTATAATTGAATTTACAATAAAGGCAATAGTTACCAATAACTAATGAACTTAGCAAAAGCAAAAAAAAAAAACAAAAAAAAAAACAAACCTATAGTATAAACTGTATATTTTCAAAAGTTTCAACTAAAGTTTTTTAAAATTAAGATGTTTTTAGACAAATTATCTATTTACAAAAATCTGAACTAATGATTTTCTAATTTATATCCAAATCCAACATGCTTACAATGCAAGAGTTACATTAAAAATAATAATTATTGTATTATATGCTCTATTAACAATATACTCTTACAACAAATTATAACAAATACATTTAAAACTATATACACCAAATTTCAAATTTTGTTAAAAAAAACATTTTATACAGAGTGCAACACTAGAGTTAACTTAGTACTATTAGGTACTATTTCTATAACAAAGTTATCTAACTTAGTTAACAAACAACATATACTATACTTCTATTACAAACTTTCTAAAAACATATATAAACAAATTTGAAAACACAGATGTATTAATATATCTCATACTCAAAATCAAAAATCAAATGTTACAACTCTAACCAACCTACAAATTACTCAAGTTTAACTCTATCTTATTATGAATATTATACAAAATAAATACAACAAATGGCTTTTAGATTTTATTTAATAAAACATATCTACAACAAACATTATATATATAGACTAGAAGGCCTTGAACCTTTTTAGTAAAGTCTAAGTTGAAAGTAAATCAGTTTTAATCTTTAGTTCTTTATAACATTGTATTTATTTACTTCTTGTAAAAATTCATATAATGATAATAAAAAAATAAAAACCAGGCCTTGCTTTTTAAAAAAAAATAAAAAAATAAAAATATAAATTTTAAACTAATTATAAAATTTTATTTTGGTTTCTTTTTATAAACTATTACTGTTATAGTAATATTTATTTATTATCATTTTAATTAATTTTGAATGATTTTAATATTAAAAACAATACATATTGTAAATAATATATAGTAGATTATAATATTTTTTATAAATGATTTATTTTAAATAATGTTTTTTTGAATTTTTTGCTTTATTAGGTTTATTTATTAATTAAATTATAAAATTATATTTATTTTAGAAATTTAAAATATGCTCCAAATCTAATTTTTATATTAAATTATATGTCAAAACATTTGACATTACGGCAAATTAGATATTTTATAAAACTCAAGTCAATACTATTTGGGATTCTACCTAATCCTTAAATTGATAGGTTGGGTAGAATCACTAATCTTAATGGTGTGACTATAAAAAGGCTTGACTGTATTTAAAAAGTTTGTTATAAACAAACTAAAAAATATTTTTTTTGTATTTTTTTTTTATATGCCTTAGTCGGCTACAAAAATATATTAGTGTAACCATAACATTCTCATTTATATATTAATATTAAAATCCCATACTTTACAAATTTCATTAAAAACTGATTCCATTAAACAACTTTATTCTTTGGATCATTATGTGAACATTGCCACGGTGTTCTTTAACTTCTTTTTAATAAAAAGAAGGAATGGAGATCATTGCCAGAGAAAAAAAAAATTCTCAAGTTCACTAGATTAATCTTTCAACTCCATTAAGGAACCGATAACTAGTACTGCTTGGTACAAATGGAAAGTCGGGCCGACAGGGTTGATACACAAAACCAAACACTTTAAAAAAAGCAAACCATTTTAACAGAAACTGTTTTAGCTAGGAGCTATACAACTTTTAAAATTATAAATGATTTTTAATACTAATAATTTAAACATTAAAATTTAGATTTTACAAGATGTATTAAGTTTTATAAAGTAATGTTACAATGAAATTAATGTAATTATAGTTTTCTAATTCTATTAATGAACATAATCTGAGACAAAAAATTTTGACATAAATGCTTCATAAGTATTGGGGTTTTTATGCCGCCCCGTTATTAAGCTAATATCTGATGCACGTTCCATATATGAATTATGGCACATTGTTATATTTGAACTATGAATATTACAAAAACTATTTCGAAATGCTTGAACTGCTGTTTGTCGTACCAAAGGCCCTAACACATTCTTCGATATTACCATGCCATGCAATAATGGCCCAAATGGAGGGATTTTGTTATCGCGATAAATGTCTATGCTAAACAGTCCATTAGGCAAAGGAGTAACAACAATTTGTGCGTTACCAAAATCACCTCCAATAGTCGTCTTACGATAATCTCTGTTATGCTCGTTAAATACTATGTGAACAGAATCGTTACCTATGTGACGTTTCTGATATGAAAAAATAAAGACGTTAGTATATGAAATAAAATATGATGCAATGCTAATAATAACATACTTTTCTTAGTTGCTTAGGATCAGTTAAATCGGTTGGCATCTTTGTTACGTCATGGAAAATTATTTCGAGTGTCGAAGTGCAATAATAAATTGATGTAAGACCATTGGTTGCATTTCGTTCTAATCCACCAAGATATCCAGGATGTGTTGCAAGCTCAATTTCCCATCCAAGACTTGCCACAAATTCATCATATAATGGGCTACCATTCATATTATGCAAAATACTTTTTTCATTTTCTTGACCAGGACCAACATACAAGAGTGCGACCTTAATTACTTCACGGGCATGCTTCTTGTCTAAAAAGCGTATATCACGAAATAAATTAGATGATTTATTTAACATACAAATAGAATCATCTTTCAGTGCTTCAGGATCAAGCCACCCAAAATGGCTTAAAAATAATCGACAAAGTTGATAAGGTTCTTTAGGTTTTTCGGCTTCAGGGGGCAGAACCGGAATAAATGATTTTGATAGTGAGAAATCTGCCCCAAGCGATAAGTAGGATGTAGACCGAGTATAAAGTGGGCTTCGCGAACGCCGTTTAATTGCGTGACGATTTTCACGTTCTTGAAAGATATTGTTTCTAAGGGAAATTATATTATCGTACCATAATTTTCTTAATAAAAAATAAAAACCCATTGAGCATGCTATTAGCTGCAAAAAATAAAATAAATAAATAAAAATAAATGTAAATTAAGAACTTACGCCTGGCTGTTTATTGAATTGTCGTAAAGTGTTTCTTCCTGTATGTGCCGGTCTAATTGATCTTCAATTTGAGATAAATCATTTAAAACATTTAACGATGTGCTTGGTAAAACCTCTTCATCTTTTGTACATAGCGATTGTTGGTCAATACTTTATTTAAAGGGATTATAATAGTTAATAAACATGAATACATTTGATAAGCCTTTATAATAATAAATTAACTTACTATTGGAGTAGATTATCCAACATATTTACATTTTCAGAACTACTTGTTTCAGTCCATACAGGCAATCGATTTTTATCTTTAAAAAAATTGCCTGATCGATAGCGTGATTTTATCTTTGGTGATGAGTTATTACTGGCAAAAAAAAAAAAAAAAAAAAAAAAAAAAAAAACACAAATCAATACAAACATATAATTTTTATTTATGTAATTGAATCTAGACGCAAATACTTAAAAATATAAATAAAACATACGACTTAGGCTTATTGTTACTTGACTCAACTTTGATATCAGGTCTCAGAATTATATGGTCAATAATTTCAGTAGTTTTATATGCGTTTTCTCTCTCGGAATATTTATCATCAAGAGAGGCTTTATAAAATAAACTAGAATCCCATGCGTATCGACCAGAAAAGTCTCGTATAATCATTCGAGATACTATTAAAACAAGTTATACTCATTTTTTAGAAAGACGCTAATATTATAACCAAACGGGTATACATATATCCTTAAATACCTGGTGCATTATCTCCTGGTATTTCAATTAAAGTAATTATTGTCGTATCGTTAAAAGAAAAATAATGGTAATTATCAGATGCCTCATCATATTTAGTGTCATTTCCTAATGGCCCGATTAAAGTGCTTATATATTCCAAATTCAAAGTTAGACTTTGTGCCAATAGAATAAATAAATCAGTTAATAACTTTTTTACCTATTCATCATTGCAGGACCATGAAGAGGAGAAAAGTTATCCAAATGGTGTGTTAAATGTAATAACACATATTCTGCAACTTCCTTAAAATACAAACAAAGTAAGTTTTATATGCCTATTTACATAAATGGATTTATGGTACTGGTTTATTGTGCTAAAAAAATTTCTGGTCTTATTTTTTTCGGAATTCATATTCATGTATGTTATCTGAGTTTAATATAATTCACCATAAATCCATTGAAATGCACCGGATTTTTAAACATGCAATTGAAATGATACATTACTTTGACAAAATTAGAATCCTCTATATCATTTTCTACTCCAACTACGTGAATATTCTGCTCATTGTCAAAAGTTGGGCTCGACGCAACTTTTCTCTCTGCTTTCTTAAATCTCACATTGTTATCTCGGTCTCTATTTTTCCCATCTCTATTTGATAAATTTGTACAGTGTTTTCTGTAAATTCTTGGCGAATCAGACTATCGTGAAATGTAAATAACAAAAACAAGAAATTAGGGTTATCTGACAAATTATAAAAATAACAAAGTTTTTCTATTGACATACACCCGGGGCTTCAAGTGCCATGTCAATCACATCAAATACTAATTGGCATAATTCTGTATCTGTAAAAAGATTGGTTGGAATGACCATTAGCCACTCGAGAAGGCAATAAAATAACTTTGCTATTATGAATCCTAAAGAAAAGTAGGTATAAACAAATAATTAGCAAACAATCACATAATAATAGAAAATAAGGCAACTTGCTTACACCTTACCTCTGCCATTTCTATTTGATGTTTTATGCAAATTAAGATGTTCATTGAGTGCGCCAATAAGATATGCAAATACATCTTGTAATATCATAATGTATATCTAAAATAAATATAAATCAATACAGTTATCAAACATAAATATGACAATAATACAAAAAATCTCTTACCTCATCTTCATCGCACCAAATAGATGAATTTTGTGCAAAAGAGGTCAAACAATCTGTAGCTGCACTAACAATTGGCAAGTGACTCCAGTATAACTGTTCTAATAATGCTTGAAAACATTCCTTGACTATGGTTTTGTCGGGCCTACCAGAAAGTGAATGACTTAATAATCGTAAAACTAACAAAGCTAAGGATATAATTTAAAACAAACCATGGTGTAGCGGTAAGTTCATCAAAAGCAAATGTAAAAATCCCATACAACAACATATTATGTGTCTCGTAATTATAAATAGACATTTCATCTGCAAGAGAGGATATTAAAGTGTCCTCTAAAAGTAATCTTATCTATAGAAAAAAAAAAGTAATTTGAGAATTATATTAACAAAAATCTAATACAGCTCAGAAAAAAGTCATTTACTTCAGAAAATCGCATGCTATCGAAATGACCTAATTCTGATACATCCAAGTCAGTATTATTAAACTGAACGAGATTTTCATACGATATTATTGGAACTTTTACAGTCGGCATTTGATTTACTGTACAAATCAGAAAGCAAATTATTGCAATGGCGTTCTGTTTCGCAAGTTCAGGTATATGTTTGTCATCCTTTAATGGCATATTCCGAATTGCTTCAATAAAACTCTGATATAAGATACTGTATCCTGGAAGCTCCCGAGAGAAGAGTTTTGTAGAATTATTCACAATTGCAAGTGTTATTGAAATGTCCTGATCTGAAAATCCTTTGAGTAAAGCACGATAAAAATGTGGATAAAACGCTTCGTCAAATTCTTGATCTTGACGTTGAGACATCATTTTACATAATCCAGCATACGCCAATGCGCGTCCTGGAGCAAATGCCCTATTAAATCAAAAATATTTAATGAAAATCAGAACAAAACCTTATCAATTTGTCATTTCATAACACAGATTACTTTCTGTTTACCTACAAGGGTAAATCACAAGCTTGAAAAAACCAAGGAGCAAAGTCGTAATGTAAAGATAACGAAAAATTTCCACATTTGTTATTACGAACCTAAAAAAAAAATTAGTACATTCAAAGTGCATAAAATTTACAAATTATGCTACTTACTAATTCTAGCATTTCTAACATATCTACGAGGCATTTTATTGCATCTGCATGATTTGACGTAATCTTATAAATACGAAAGTTAAATTTACTATACATGAATATTAAAATACTAAAGTAAATATTAATATATATTACAACTACTTCTATACCTGTATATAGTTTACATTTCCTAGTGCACATAACATATTTTTCCATACTAGAACGGCACTTTCACCATTCCATGGCAATGGCTCCAAATTACAATAATCGGGACATCTGAAATTGCCCAAAGATATTGATAATTTTTCACCACTAAAATTTGGATGCGAGAAAAACACCGAAGATGATGAAGTTCTGTGTGACTATACATTGTATACCACTGATTAATGAGTTACACTCAACAGATGGAAAAAATACAACACATTTAAAAGTAATATACTTTAGGATCAGTTGCATCGTCAAACGCAAGCTCGCTACTAGCATCGAAAAAGTCATCTTCACCTTCAACCTCTTCACCATCTTCATCTGATGCAACACTACCAGAATGCGTTGATGAAGCGGGGCCACTGCTTACAACATTAAATAAAGGCTGCCCACTTAACAATTTTGAATCCAACGAATTCATATCTTGGTGCATACTCAGTGTTCGACGACCGGATTTACTACTATCAGAATTTTTAAAAGAAAATGAAAAGTCGGCATTGAGAGCCCCCAAGACCTCTTCACGTGATGAAGTACTACCAGAAGATTTATGTTTGTGTGTTCCTCGCAAAGAAAGATGTCGTGTGCGATTTTTGGAAGGTCTACGTCTATGGTAATGGCGTTCAGAGGTAGAAAGTTCCGAAAGTCGACGATCTAATTCAAGAGCATCAAGATCAACATTATATACGTGCTTCGAAATTATTTTAGTAAGACGTAGCATGATTTTCTAAGATTAGATTGGCAAGTTAATAATTTTCACTTAAGGCCCAAAATTTGACCATTCTGAAACAATTGGACATTTATGCTTACAGCCCATTGGGAAATAGTTTGAGACCATCTTGTACTATAACTCATTTGATTTCTTAATTCTCGCCATAAGTCAGGCTGTTGAGCTTTTGACCGCGCAAATGCATTCAGTACTGTCTAATATTGAAATAACGTTATGCAAAGTCGAGACAAAAGACAAGTGAAATATATAAGTACTAACTTCGACTAGATAGTCAGCCAGTTCTTCTGCCAATGATACCGAGGGTATTGCAGCATATTTATCCTTCTGATTCATAATTTTTTCTTGAATATCCAAAAGTGACAAAAGTAAAACCTCCCTGTAATAAAACATGATTATAATTATATTGATGAACAGAATCTGAGATGTGCTCATATAATTTTAAGTAGTTTTCATCCGATCAATATTTAATATGTATATCACGTGCAGAGAACCTCAATCTTCTACGCCCCAGGCAATCAATAAAAACCCACCATGTTTCTGTCTCTAACTCAATAGGCCCCTCCGAGATCATTGATCGATAAAGAGCAAGGACGTCTTTATATATTGAAACTTGCGAATCTACCTATAAAGGGATTAGTCATAAAGTGTTTTGTTTTTTATCACTTTAAGCGTTACACGGTTGCAAAAGTGGTTTACCTCTAGATTGGTCATACCGTTGAGAGTCATGAAGGAATGATTTTCGAAAACGAGACTCAATAATTGAATATATCTCCGGAGGTACACATTAGCGTCCGAATATGTTGTGGAAAACGATGTAACTGATGAAGGTGTAATAATTGGTGTACTTGATTGTTCACTCTGATTGTCTACCGAGGAAGTCTGATGATTAAAAGATCCAATTATAGAGGCAGATAGTGGACCCTGTGATGGAGATTTGCGTAAGAAAGCTGGCCTCTCTTCTTCCTGTGAATATAATAATACAAACACAATTAGTCATTATCTTCATAGCTATTAATATATTAGTAGAATCATATAGATATCACTTGAATGTAAAATTAGCAAATAAATCAATAGATGAATGCTATCTGTACTAACCCCACTAAGTATCCAGACACCAACAATATGAACAGCACCTCTCACAATATCTTTATATAATGGACTACCAGCAGGCAGCATAAGAGCTTGGCGCACTATTTCATGCGCGAATTCACGATTCTCAGGACCTAGTACAATAGACTTTAGGATCGGAGTGGCAGGTGAGGGATATGATGAAATCTTTTCTGATGGGCTATGATGATTATCGAGACAATGATGGATAAAAAACGTGATCAATGCACGGAGAATTGTTGGTGGGCACTTTTTAAAACCGTAGTCTGTTAAACATACATAAATATATAAAGAACAAATAATAGAATTTAGTGAAAAAAAAGACATCCGAAAAGAAAGATATTTTTATAATAAAATTTGATCTTACCTTGATTTTCTGCCAGCAAACCAATATTCTTAGCACATTGAGGAAAAAGTTTTGCAAAATAATGTTTTTTTGTGAGATCAAAATGAAATTTAGCGGCGGCAAAAGCAGCATCAATGCCCATCCCGACTGCTATCCCATTGTCTGGCTCAATATTTTCAATTGCAGGAAAATCATAATTTTCTGGTGGTGGTGTTGAACCTGCGGCAACATGTGCTAGTCGGACAAGACTACTTAGATCAAGTTGTATCAATTGTATAGCATCATTAAATGTAGGTGGATGAGGATTCGGAAATAGTGGGCCTTGGTCATCAGCTATAAACCAATTTTATATGTTAATCATAGAAACAATTGCGATAAATTATGCATGGTGGACTCACATCGAATCAACTCTTGTCCTAGCCCTAAAGGTACATTGCTTTTTCGCCACACATTTTGCCTTTCATAATAATCATCGCCTCCATTTCGTATTTGATCATATAAAAATAAGTCTAACGAAATAGCATTTGAATAAAGATGTATGCACTCTTGCAACTCGATAGTTTGATCATTTAACCATAACAACAAAAGTTGAAATCCTTGTATCCGAACACGCGGATTATTTCCGTGATCAAGCAGATGGGATAACATTTCAGCTTTTGTTTAAAATAATAATAATAATAATAATGATAATATAGTAATAATAAAAAAATTAATAACAAATATTTAAATGTGCTAACTACCTAGTAAACTCGAAATTGGTTATTATCGATAATACCTATTTGTCTCCGCTGCCACCCTACTCTAATTTTGTCTGGTAAGAACAAAAATATTTTGCGTAATAACAACAAAGTCTTATTTATAGTTAACAATTCTTTTGACGAAGATGTTAAGGGTCTATCAGGTTTTTCTGCCAAACAAACAATTATACATATACAATAGACTTGTTAGATACATTTAACTCTCTTAAATTAAGCTTGACTTTATCTGTTTTAAATTCTCACGTTTTATTTTTTCGACTTGGCCCATAAATAACTTATAAACTACATCGAACACATCTTCGGCATGCTCTTGAAAGAATTGAGCTTGATCCAATACATTTGTAACATCTTCAATCCGCAAAATAAATAATCAATTAATTGAAATGCCATTTTAAAAATAACAAAATCTTCCTCTTGCAACTATAAGCTAACTACACCACACTCCACCATAAGAATAGCTCACCAATGAAACTCCAAAGTGATGCAATTCTTGCTTTTGATTTTTGTCTTTGATCTAGGAATATCTTTGCCTTTTTTAATAATTTCTCCATTCTATCATCCTTTAGTATGCCTTTGTTCTCCCTATTCATATTGAATGTAATGAATTTATTTAATTATTTTGCGCGATGATATTGAAGCTGTAGATGATGTTGACTTGAAGAATTTCCACTGTGTTCCCAACGCTTAAGCTAATATTACCGACACTATACTAATAGATAAACGTAGTGTTGACACTAGACTTCTGGAACTCCACTGGATGTCCAGAGTTGTCCAGTGGTTCCAGCGAGATATTACACTGGAACGATTTTCCCGCTGGTCTGATTGGCTGATTTATGTTAATTCAAACGTGACTATTGACCAATCAAATAAATTTAGTATGCGAATGAAGCGAAATTTTATTAAAATAATTACTACGTAAAGATGATACTTTACTTTTAATTAAATATTAGCCTCCAAACCATGATTAAGAGAATTAGCCTTACCCTTAAGAATTTAGCCGATATCCGGCTCCCATTCTTGTAATTATGATAAATTTTAGACTATCCTTGTAGAATTTTAATCAGTATTTCACTTACGTATTGAAAACATAAGTGTCATCAAGGGAAAAAACCGCAATTCTAAAAATATATTGCGGTTGCACCTTGTCAAAACCGAGTAAAGGATCGATTTCTGATAATGATAACACATCCAATTAGAAAGCGCAAATTCAATTCCGATAGCTACCAATCATATTTCGTATTTGTAACATGACACACGTTAAATTAACTACCTAACAAGGTTGAATCTCTCTGTGTAATTAGTTACACGATGGCCTATGACCTGTCAGTTATGTTGATGCAACTATTAAAAACAGTTGCTATAATATAAATATTACAAAAATAATTGTTTGTCAATGTGTTTTGAATTAACACAATCTACTAAGTTGTTACATTTTTAATTTAAATTTTTTTTTTTTTTTTAATATTAAAGGTAAGTACTTATCAGTAACACGATTTGTTACACAGATCATATGTATAAAATTTTTTAAATGATCGATGCACCTAAATTTCATATGTAAAATTTAGGCAAATTTTGTGGTTTAGGCTTATTTAACAAAAGCATTTGAAGGTACTTTACAAAAAATTTCAAGGTTGTTCAAAATAAAATAAAGAATAATCTAAATCACTAAGTCTGTCAATTTTTTTACGATTTTTATTATTTATTTATAAGTGATGTAAAGTGATATACATCATTTTACCAAAACAAGTAATCAGAAGACATCTATTAAATTGATGCCTTTTTATTACTTAATTTGGTAAAATAATGTACATCACTTTACATCACTTATAAACAAATGATAAAAATTATAAAAAAAATGGCAAACTTTATAATCTAGATTATTTTTTATTTTATTTTAAACAACCTTGAAATTTTGTATAAAGAACCTTCAAATATTAGAGAATTTGTAAACTTATACTCAAAATTTAAACTAACAATTTCTTTTTGTTAAATAAGTCTAAATCACAAAATTTGTTTAAATTTTATATATGAAATTTAGATGCATCAATTATTTGACTTCATATTAAAAATTTTACATATAACAAATCAAGTATCTGTTATAATTCAAGCTTTTATTAATAGTATGTTTTAGTTTTGTGATTGTATTACAACAGTTACAGAAGGCAATTATAGAAAAAATATACAACTAATTACTTGTACAACTTTAATTATTATCTAATTTAAGTAGTCTGCTCAAAGGTTCTACATTAGTTGTTATATTTAAAATTTGCTTGTAAGTTCTTTATTTAAACATTTTGGTTTCTGTATTTACCTATTTATCTATCTTACTAACTGCTTTAGTTTTTAATAATACAAATATATTATAATTATTAGGTTTTTAAAACAATTCACTTATATAAAGAACTTTTAATCTTGTATTAAATCTATCAGAATTTTTATTATTTAATTTTTAATTAATCTAATATCATTATAATCAAGATCAATATTTGCAGTCTAGATAATTCTTAAAGTATTATACTTTTGTAAAGTTTATACAATCTTAGTACTCTTCTTTACAATCTTATCAGTATCTTGTATATTCTTACAAGTTTTCTTATATTACTAATTTAGTTAACTTTGTATGATGCAACTTTATATCTAGTTCAATTAATAGTTAGATTAGTAGATTTCTTTATTTAAAGTTCTTGTCTGTATAGGTTATCTACTCTAGATTTCTGTCTTCAGATTAAGATTTTTATAAATAATATTATTAAAGATAATATTATCTCTTTGCTCAAGATGTTTAAACAAGATTTTTTATAAAATATATACTTTTTAGATTTATTTATATAACATTACAAAATTCAAAAGTTAAGCTTAATACAATTAAAATTACAGAATTACAATCTTAGATATTTAAACAAGTTGCCAAAATAGAACTATTTTTAAAATTTTTATTGCTAGTAGAATTTGAATTCTAAATCTACTGCTTAAAGAATAACAACTTAACTACTATACTAGGATCATCATCTTCTAATTTAAATTTTTTTATTTTTTTTTATTTTTTATAGTTAAAGTCCTTATCTTAGGGATGTGATATTTTATTTAAGTTTTGTTAGAAAATGAGTACCTTCAAGAGTTCCCTTATATTGGAGATTACAACTAGTCATTTATGCACTTTTGGTCCTAATTTAAGTAATCTGCTTACATATTGCTATATAAGTTCTATACTAGTTGTCATATTTGTAAGCCAACTAGGAGTCTTGCCTATTTAAATCCTCTGCATATACAATTCTTCTTGTATTATGAGAACATCTCAAGGCTACACCTATCCAAGTTTCTGATGCTTATCATTACTCTTAAAACTACTTTATTCTTGATAAGAAACTTACTAAAGCCTTTATGTCCCAGACATATAGACCTAGTTTTATGCAACATACTATAGTTACCTAACACTTGCAGTCATAGGGGTTATCTGTTTAACTGCTACATTATACTATTTCTACCCTTATAAAGTTCACTAAAACCCCAGTACCTATCTTCCTGACATCTTCTCCATCATCTCTTACTAGTCACAATTTGGAACTGTCAGTCTTTATTTAAACTACCAATTCAGATGGCCTAGTATAGTATATTTATATATCTTTTTCTTCTGTTGAATCTGGCAGCCTAGTTGGTTATATGCTTTCTTACACATATTTGATATCTGGTTTTAATCTTCAGCTTCTATGAAGGTGTTTCATAGCCTTCAACCAGTCTGATAGTATGTTAAAAGTTCATGCTACCTCTTTATTCAGAGATTTTCAAGTGGGTTTTCATCATCTTGATTCCTTAGTTTTCTATATCTAATGGTCTTATCGTGGGTTTGCACTGAAGTCTCATGCAACATTGTTAAGCATTTCTCTATATATATGTAATGTTATACTTTGCATAGATGCCTAAGCTCCCAAAGTCAGAAGAACCTGACCTGGTATACCTGGGTAATAGTCACATAAGGCCAATCAATTGACAGGAGACAGTTACTGTAATGCAAATATAATTTCCAAATTTCATCGTAAGTGGAATTTGAACCTTAGACCTGCCACTTAGAGAATGATAACTCAACCACTATACTAGAATCACTATCTTCTAATTTAAATTTTTATTAATATATAAATAATAATTTATTATATAAATTTTTGAAAAATAAATAATTTTTAATAAAACAATTTGAATTTTTCTGATTGTATTACAGTATATCAAATTATAATTAATAATTAAATAATTTTTTGTTAAATATTAGAGTTTTGTTTAACTCAATTCTAATATTTTATAGTATTATTACCAAAATATTGCAGTTATATAAAAACTAAAAAATTTTTAAAGTTTATTTAAATTAAAGTTTATGTTAATATTAGAATTAGCAAAAATTTAATAATAAAATTATTTTAAAAAAACTTTTTGTTAAAATATTATAGATAGTTTTTTATATTGCATTTTAAGAAATAAATAATTTTTAATAAAACAAACCTCTGTTTTAAATTTTTTAAATTATATAATATTTTATCTAATCTTAAAATCTAATTTGTTTATATTACAAAAATTTTTATATAATTGTAATATTTTGAAAATCTTCTTTATTATTGTTACTAAAATATTACAATTATATAAAAATTAAAAATTTTTTAGTTTATTTAAATTAAAGTTAAAGTCTATACTAATGTTAAAATTAAAAAAATTTAATAATAAAATTGTTTAAAAAAATTTTTTTACTAGTCTATTAAAGATAATTTTTTATATAAATTTTTAAGTTATAGAAAATTTTTGACAAAATAAATGTTTATTTTAAATTTTTTAATTGTATAATATTCTATTTAATCTTGAAATCTGATTTGTTTATATTACAAATTTTTTTTTTTTTTTTTGGTATTAAGGTAAGATCATACCCTCTAATCTTTATTAGTATATTTGTCATAACTAGTACAAATCTATTTTATACATCATCAATCACTATATATTTATTTAGACATAGGACTTAAACATATTGTAATAAAATTTACTAAAAACTATCAAGCTGTAGCAAATTTTAAAGTGATGAAGGTCGAGTGGAAGATCTTT